TATATCCAGTCATGTTTATAAGCCTGGGCTGAGAAATACAATCTCTGAGTGTTCCAGGTTATAAAGCTTCAGACTGACTCTATCATATTGGAAGAACTTTACTCTTCATACTCCTCTGCTAATAGCTGTCATCGATATCATAATTGTACCCCATCTCTTCTTTCAAAAATTAGCCATATGCTTGCAAAACCTTTATTTTTATATATATGTATATGTACATACACAGATATATGTATGTATATAGCTAATTACTTTGACCTTTTGGTGCTCTCTTTGCTGCATTTGGAGTGGATCTATTTTTTTATCTTTTTTCTTTATAAAGCCCTGTGCTTGTCAGTCTACAGGTGTGTTAGATTAGTTCTTTCTGAGAGCTGGCCACACCTGGGATACTGTGTCCAGTTTTGATTTCTGCCACAAATAAAGATGTGGGCAGGCTGGAGGGGGTCCAGAGAAGGGCCACAGAGATCATCAGAGGACTGGAAGCTGCTGCAGGAGGAAAGGCTGAGAGAACAGGGTTTGTTCAGCCTTGAGAAAAGAAGGTGTAGGAGAGACCTTATCACCATGGCCCAGTATTTAAAGGCTGGTTACTCCCTTTTTAAAGAAGTCATATGGAAAAGAGGAGGGGTAATATCTACAGGTTGTTCCTGGGGACACTCCAATTGGTCAGAAGACAATTTTTTACAAAGAGGAACAGCCATTGGAATAATCTCCCCAGGGTAGTGGTGCATTCCCCAACATTGGACATTTCTAAGATTTGGCTGGGCAGGCTGCTGGACCATCTTGTCTAGAGAGGAGAGTGCTTTTGCCAAGAAAGGTTGGACTGGCTGATTCTTGCGGTGCCTCCCAACCTGGCATTCTGTGACTGTGTTCCACAATGAAGGCTTCTTTCACTTTGCATACAGTGCAGTTCTTTCCTAATGATGTCTCCTGCAGCCTTACTAGTGATACAGGAAAGATAAGTTATCTTTCCATATCCTATGCCAGGGCCAACAACAATAAAATTATAAAGTCACTGAACTCTAGTGATTATTCATTTGTCATAAAGATTGAGATTTATCACAGTGAGGTAAAAACTTACCTTTTCTTAATTTAATTAAGATTAATCACCACTGCTGTTTTATTACAGACCACCAGTGCAAAACCTAAAACAATTTGTGCTTTCAGTTGTCCCCTAATCATCTTTTTATTTGAAGGACAAGAATAATCTTGGCATAAATAAAAAGTTATTTCAGTCTAAGATGAATTGGGGTGGGGAAACCAAAAAATAAACAGAACAAACAAACATGGGTAGTTTTAGCTTCTTGATAAACATCCAAAACCTCTGTGTGTGTGTGTGTTCATATCAAGCTAACATTCTGTATGTTAGTTCCATTGCACAAATCTTTATTATATGTGGGTATTTCCAGTAATTTTTAATTAGCATATCCCCTTACCTTACTGTCTAAAGGGAATATGTGATGCATATTCTTGTTTTAAAGTTTCTTTTGTGCGTCTTATACCTTACAATGCATTATTTTCTCACTGAGACTGGACAGAACTCCTAGTTTACTCTGGTGACAGATTAAAAGACACTAATAGTGCTTGAAAGCTATCCTGTTCTCATCACATTGACTTAGAGTCCTGGATAACTAACACAGGAATACTACAGGTTAAACTGTATTTTGGGGGGATTTTTTCCCATTATAATCTGTAGCAGATTCAAAGCCAAATAAGAGGAGAATTTTCATGTTTTGTAATTATAGATAGTACATAGTAATAACCAGCTGGTTGTTGACATAAAAGCACAACCTGTATATGCAAATGATGCTCTTGGCTGTAATTAGGGACAAGAGCTTTAAGAATGATGCAGCAATAGGCAGTATTTGCAGCAGGGATGGAGGAGGTGTGTCCCTGATGCAGACAAAAAGAACTGCAACAAAAGAAAATAAGCTCTCGAGTCAGCATTCTAAACTCCATTGTCACTGCAGTAGCAGCTGCGTGTGGAAATGAGGCAAATAGAATTTGAAATGAAGAACTGGAAAAGAAATTGCCACTTGCCTGCATGGATGGAGACAACTATTGGGCCTGATTGCCAATTAACTGATCTGTTTTTTCTGACAGCTTTGATAACAGGTCAAAAATGTGGCAGGAGTTCTCTTTCACCTACTTACTTCATCCTTTGTGGTTGCTCAGCCATAGATACTCCTCTGCACACAAAGAAACACCACAATGGTACCAACAGTAGTTTGGTTTGTATCTGTCTTATGTTGGATGTGGATGATTTCCAGCAGAGTTCAGTGAATTATCTTTAGGTTGAAAAAGACTTCCAGGCATAGAAAACAGGCTAGGACTACATAAATATTATCAGTTCATACTAAGCATATTTTTAAGGACTAAAAAAAGAATCAAGGGTACTTCGTTCAGCATTAAAACAGTGTTTGTACCTACTCTGTCCTGCAGCAGCAGGAAATGTTTTATTGTAGGTGGAGACTGCAGAAAATCTAAGTGTCATGTGAACGCCCTCAGAGTACAGAGAAATGTTCTCTGGAAATGAATATACCTTTGAGCAGGTAGTCATAGTTCCAAGACCCAGATACCTTTGGGGGCTAAATCTTGTCAGAATTGCCTGTGCCCTGAGTCATGTTGGGTGGTGATGAGCCTGGGTGTGCAAGGTATTTATTAGTTTAGATAGAAGGTCCCTGTTTGTGGACTGGAATTGTCTGTAATGTCTGACTAGTTAAGGTGTTGTCTCTGAATGTTCAAACTCTGTCTCTCCTGTATGCCTGAACCATGATTGCAGCACTTCTGCCATTTAATTGACCAGATAATTTACCCTGTCAGGATATCATAGGCTATTTAAGGCTGTCTCTTCAGAGCAGTTATTAGCTTTCTTTTTCTGCTTCATTCAAGAACAGATGTTTCTACTGTGTAACTGAAATAATCAACGTCTTTGGAAATCAAAGATTGCTGTTTTATGAAATAGAACATGATGGAAAATCTGAATTATTAATTATAAAAGGGCAGGAGTGAAACTAATTTTATGCAACTTGGCAGAAATTTATAAGATCTGAGTCATGATAATGGTAAATAGTTAACAACTTTAATGGTGTTGTCTTTTATACTTGCGTAGCTAAATATTTCACTTATGCTTTGTCATGTCATTTCTGTATTTCAGAGGAGTGTCATCTGTTTGGTTTTTGTTTGGTTTTTTTTTTTTAGATTTGGAGCTGTTTAAATTTCCTTAGTAATTTGCATTTAAATGTTTTCATTTTTTCACCAATTTTTCCACAGTTCATTATTTCTTTAATTGCCATATCAGGTTCCCGGTGAAGGTACTTGCAGAAATATCTGTGTGAAGGGTTATTTTTTTCTGAATATATATTTTAATTTTTTTTCCTTTTGATTATGGACACTGGTACATGCTATTAGTAAGCTTAGCAAAACGGGTAAGAAGGATTTTAGTACTTAAATAAGATCTAGTGACATGAAGGAAAAAGACTTAACTTGCCACCCACACTCAAGGCCATATCCTGTGTGACCCACAGGAGCAGTCCCAGTAAAGACACAGAAAATACTAACCCAAGTAAAGTAGACAAAGTCTATTTAAAACAACCCACTGTTGTTTAAGAGCTCTGTTCATATAGCACCATGGAAGAAAAATTTTCCACAAAAGGTGGGGAAGTAAAAGTACAGTCTTTCCTGAGGGCATCCAGCATGATTCATGCTAAAACAGATAGTTGAAGTCAGATTTCCTCTTCTAGAGTCTTGTCCGATGGGTAACATCCTGTTCTGCTGGTATGCACATTTTTTGGGGAAGAAGCAGCTGCATTTAGCAGACCAGAATATATTTATTGTGAGCTTAGTCATTCCAGGAATATATTTTTTCTTGCTCTAAAGCAAAAGCACTAAACCTGAAGAAAACTTGGGCAAGTTGAAAACAACTTTGGAAATAAGAACAACAATGAAACAATTTAGAACAACAATGAAAATATATATGTGAGGTGGATTTTTGCCACTTTTGGCTTATATAGTAAAAGCAAAGATGAAACTTGGACGTTTAGGACAGGCACAGCCCCTCCTGTAGCAGCCTGTGCTCTCTCTCTGTCTCCAGCCAGGTGCTGCTCAGAGTTTAGTGCAGGCAGGGTTGTGCTGCCCTGGGCTTGCCTTGTGTGTGCCAGTGGCACTGCATGGTGGAAAATGGCAAATGCAAATATAAACTTGGGTGTGGAGACAACTGCATGTGGCTTCTTTACAAAGCTGCACTTAGTACCAATAAATCTGAATCATCCTGTTGTAGTAAAGCTTTGATAAGAGGCAAAATCTTTCATGGGAGTTTATCAACCCCTGTGAAGCTGCCTTCAGTTTTGTTCTGCTTTTCTAAGAGATCAGTAGAGAAAGGTTCCCACTGAGACTCCAGTCTTTGCTCAGTAAAACCCTTCATTCAGCTCTTTGGCAGTGTTAGGAGATAGCAGGGTGTCAGAAGAGTGGTAGATTTCAGGTGGTGGTACCTCCTGGAGTTGTGGAAAGATTCCCTGGTGTTCACCGAGGGATTGTAGGTAGGTACTTGGAAGTGTCCCACTGAGGTTTATGTGGTGTAAATGTTGGAGTGCTCAGTGCTTTGCAGGGCTAGATCCCAGCACTAAGCACTGCTTGGCAGTGATGCTGCATCTCACTTAGAAATTAATGTTTCCAAAAATTGTTTCTTGAAGTGTGAGGAGATTTTAATGCTGTAAAACCACTCAAGCAGTGGAGGTAGGTTGTTGTCCAGGGCTTATTCTATGGAAATGAAAACATCAAATGTATGTAGACAGGTGCTGCTATTGTGAATTTTCACTCACTATTGCAGTGAAAAGAATTGCTAGGTATCTGATGTACTTTAAAGTGTTGTTTGTAATGTTTTAAGTGTGTCAGGCCTGGACATGTCATTCAGGTCTGATACCTCATCTTGAATAGATCAGTAACTTATATGTGTCTGGAATTACAGCCTGCCTTATATCTTACCTGTTTATTGTTATTATTAGGTATTAGCAATTGAGGACAACACTTCTGCTGTCTGAAGATGGAGAACAACATAACTACTATCTCTCGTGAGGAGCTTGAAGAACTACGAGAAGCATTTGGCAAAATAGGTATGTTTTAAATAAGGGAGTCATAAGGATGCCATTAACACTGCAAAACTGTTTAGGATTTGTGGAAGAAATCTTTACAGATCACTTGGTTTTGATAGGGCTGTGTTTTCCCTCTGTATTGCCAGTAATATCTAAAAAAATATAAAAAGAATGTTTACATAGAGCCCCTTACTTTCACTGGAACTACGTGTGTTAATTTCTTTCAACTTCAGCACTGAAAACAGACATGTTTTCTTGCAGGGTGGCAGCATTTTATGGGTTATTGTTATGTATTGCTACATAATGGGTCTCAAAATTCAGGTTTCTGAACTCCTTAATTTGGAAAAAGTTTTGATTAAACTTCAGGTGTTATATATATTCACGTTAGATTACTGACACTTGGTTTTTGCTTTACTTGAATGCTTTGGTGAACTAATAATTTCATTTATTCAATCAGATCTTATGTTTTAAGAGAACTAAACTTAGAGCTTGTTTTATCTTTAGTTAATATGATCAGCTTTGTTATGCCAGTGTTAATAAATAACTGTACAGTTCTGTATGCTTGACAGGATGTTTACAGATTAATCAGATCACACAGAAAGTGTAAGAAATTATATAGCAGCTAACCCTTTTTTCCAGATTGCACTGCTGTTGTGAATGTTCATGTCTGCTTTATTTATTTACTGCCATTCTGAGGGGTGATGTGTAACTTGTGCAGCTCAGGAAATCAAACAACCATGCTTGTAATCAGTCATGATGGGGGAAACAGGATCATTTTAGGCAAGAACTCTTAAATATTAGGAGTCTTTACTTGGTAAAGAAACTATTGGGAAGCTGTATGTTAGAGATTTGGAAGACTGTGAGTAGTATGGAGAAGTGAAGAGGGAATTATTCAGGTTCTGCCAATAAAGGTATCATGTGATACCCAGTCCAGAGTCAGGAAGATTAAAACAAAAAGAAATAACTTTACAATAAATAATAGAGCAGTGAACCCATTGACTCAGGATGTTGTTAAGACCAAACAAAGAGTAGAAGTTCTAAAGGGAGTAAGATACATCCATGGAAGATAATTCATGAGTTGCTGTTAAACAATCATCAGGACATGTATAGCTCAAGTAGTTTATATCCTGCAGGTGCTGGAATGACAGACCAAGGAGAAGAGCACTATGTACATGTATCAGCCTACTAAGAGGTGTTAGCATAAGTAGAAACTCACTGGTGTTGTCTGACAGCTTTTCTATATGTTTGGTTTTCACCATCTGTATTCCTTCTTTTTCTCCATTCTCTGCCTGCATCTTTTCATATTTCTGCTTGAAGAATTGTCTGTACTGCTCCTACTCACTGAAGAGCATTTTTTTCCTTATGCTTTCTGTAAAACATAAAAATTAAGCATCATTAGTTTAATTTTTTTCACATTTCTAATGTCTTTATGGATAAAGTACTTGCAGCTAAATTGGTAAACTGAGAGAAGGCATTTATTTAACTTTCAGCTTGTCATCATGGAAACTTACCCTCAGTGAAAGATGAACCTAGAGAAATAAAATAGCTGGTAATCTGAGTGAGCTCATGAGCATGTCCTCTGATGGTTAGACCATCCCTGTTATTGTGTATGGTCTTACATGTCTGCAAGCCAGTGGATGAATTAATGCATGTGCAGACATCAAGGTTGTGTATTGATTTGTGAACTTCTGATAGTATCAAAACCACAAATTATTTTTTTTACCCTGCTTTTTTTAGCCTTTTGTCTGCAGTGAAGTGTGGCTGTCTTATGAAGGTATACAGAAGCTACATAGTGTAGTATGGATTACAAAAAAAAAATTACTGTATAGTAATTAATTATGGCTGGAGATGAAAGCATGTTTCTCTGCTTGCCCTTCTGTAATGAGATGCGTTCATCCACTCTGGTGTTATTGACTGAGTTCTGATAATAGATGCAATATGAAAAGATGTTCTTAACTAGTAAATGAAAAATAACCCCAAAAGTGGGAGCACCTTGACAAGTCAGAAAAGTGGCCACATCATCTGCTTGTGTTTCTGATTCATTGTTATAGTCTCTTAAATTTCTTACAAATATATCATTTATAGAGCTCTTCTAATCACAACATGCATCAGATTTGAACTTACTGATTGCAAATGGTTTAATATCACAGTAAGCATGTATGAATTGATGTCCCTTTGACTTGAATGTTTATAGATAAGTTTGTTTTGGAGTCTTAAAAAAAAGAAGAAAATCTTGAACTTCATTATTTGCAAATTTGCAGTCTTGTTCTGTCTGTGCTCTGGGATCATAAGAGTTCCTGAGAAAGCATATAACAAGATGGCACAAGTCCTAGACAGTTGTGCCTCTAATCCACAAGCATTCCTTCATACTTACTTATCTATATCAGAGAAAGAAACACTCATCTCCTAGAACTGTATTTATCATGCTTCATTTATTCTTAACAGTTGCCATACCTGAGTACATGAATATGCATGAGTCTACATAAGTATAACAACTTGTGCCTTCCTTCTACAGATATTGACAACAGTGGGTATGTCAGTGACTACGAGCTTCAGGACCTGTTTAAAGAAGCAAGTCTGCCCTTGCCTGGTTACAAAGTCCGGGAGATTGTAGAAAAAATCATTTTAGTGACAGATAGCAACAAGGATGGGAAAATCAACTTTGAAGAATTTGTCTCTGTAAGACCTTCCCTTTGGATGTTTCTCTACTGTTTGATATCTATTGCAAATTAAGTTCTACAACTAAATGCTATTTTTATATATAACTATTATTTTGTGTTTTCTGTGACAACCTAGAATATCATATATAGCTATTTTCTAATTTTTATCTTTCACACTCCTGTTTAATTTAATGGTTCTGATTTCAGCAGCATGTGAAAGAATAGTAGTTGCAATCAGTCTCGTTTTCTGTTTCCTCCAAGAAGAGGGGAAGGACTACATATTGCAGGAACTGTTGGGTCAGCCCTCACTCTGACAAAAGAGCAGACAACTGGATATCAGCCTCTGAATGCTCTTAGTAGTGTTTCAGTATGCTTAATCTCTATACTAATGGCTGGTTATTACTGGGAGTGAGGTACAAGTTTTCACTGAGCAGATTTCAAAGCTTTAGTCTTTTCTAATGAGAATCACTCACTGGTGCATTTTAAAAGAAACAAGAACTTAGCAGGCTGTTGGTTTGTGGGTGTTTGGGGATGATGGTGTTTTGCTTTGAAGTTAGAGTACTGCTGCTAATTGCAGAAGGTTGCTTGTTGAATTAGGTATTGAGCTCTCTTTTTGAGATTCTAAACGTGCAAGTATTTGCTTCCAGGTATTAACTGTGTCTTATACTTCATTGTCAGTCTGAGACCTCTGCAGTATTTGGGCAAACCTAAGACATACTAATATATCCAATGTGGTTTACATTGCAGGCAGGTGGAAAATGGTATTAGCTTGATAAAGAAAGGGCATGTTTAACTGTCATGTCATAACCTTTTATGTGCAAAGAATGTGGGTAAATAAGTGGGAAAAATACACTATCATCATCAAAAATGTGTGTATCTTTAGTTGTGTTCTTCAGTTTACCAAAATATCAGTGGAAAAATTGTGTAGATATTTGTATGTCTATATTTTTAGACAGCATGGCTTAATAGAGGTATTCACTATGAAATAATATGTTAGATATCCAGGATAGATACAGATATTCAAACAGTAATTCTTTCTTTTTAGAACAGAAGTCAATATAAAGAAATATCAAAGAAATTCAGTCAGATTAACTACTGACTCTAGACTACTTAAATGAGTTAACATTTATTTGAAGGTACAATCAATCACAAAATGCTTTCTGGTTTTTTTTTTAATTTCAGATAATTCAGGAATTGAAAAGCAAAGATGTTAGCAAATCTTTCCGAAAATCAATAAACAAAAAGCAAGGTATTACAGCAATTGGAGGAACATCAGCAATATCTAGTGAGGGGACACAGCACTCTTATTCAGGTAAGAAATAATTAAACATGGGCAAATTTTCTGTGGGGGAAGACTCTTTGAATTTGCACTACAGATAAAACAGAGCCTAAGTGGAAACTGTTGGCAATAAAAGCAAATTAACACAGCAAAAGCCTGTGGAGATAGACCCGGTAAGTGTGGGTGATAGTTTATTTACTCTGTTCAGTTGTTGCTTAGTTTCCCTCTTAGTTGCGCTTGGAGGCAAGCTGGGCATCTGTGTGAGAGCAAAAGAGGAAAACAAGCACTGACGTCTTGTTGGGGAGGAAAGAGCCCTTTTGGCATACTTCTAGTAAAGCTAGTCAAGTCTTTGCCTTCATTATATGCTAATTATATGCTTATTCCTATATTCAGATTAAAAAAATGAATGAATCCTCATTTTCATTTCTACAGTGTTAGCTAACATGAACTAAAACCTCAGTAACAAACCACCACATATCCTTTCTGGATGGACTGCCCTCCTCAGCTGTCTCTGCCATTATGGATTGTTCACTCATACATGGTTTTTGCATAGACTGTCTCACACTGAAGAAGCTGCTTTTAATATTTGATCTGTTTCTTTCTACCTCCCCCTGCTGCATGTAATTTAAGTTGGTAATTGTGCCTAATTGCATTGCAGCTCCTGGCCAGAGTGTGAGCCACCTTCTGGGATCATATTGCAATCAGCAATATTGCAACTTTTTTGATTGACTTAAATCTAGAATTTGTGTCATTCCAGATTGTGTTAAGGTTCTGTATATGAGGAAGATTTACTTTGATTAACCAATGGTGGCAATATCCTCTCTTTCAGTAGGATTCCAGCACCAGCTATACCTGGTGCATCCTTAAAGCAGGGGATATGCTCCATCCCAAAGGATGCCTGTATGGCATCAGACGTGATTCTTTAGATGCAGTTTTATTTTTGGAGGGGAGAAACAAACCCCACTAGAGCCGAGTTCACCTGGCCTGGCCTCACCCAGAATCTCATTGATGATAAGGTGAAGTGTGCTCTAGAGTTTCACATTGTTTCCCATTGATAGTGAAAGAAGTGTGGTGAGTCAGGTGCTCTTGAGGTGAGGTGAATGCCATCTGTACTGTTTGGGAATTTGGATACTGAGACTTGATTGACTGGTATCCAAATAAGCTTTCTTAGATATGTAGTAATAAATTATGCACGGAATATGAAAGAGAATTTAAAACTGAGGTATTAAACTTCTTAAGTTTCTCAAAGTTAAAGACAACTCAGCAGTTCAGATCAGTCTCAAAAGGCTGCCAGTCTCTGAAGTCCAGCAGAAGGCTGAATGAAACACTGCATTTTAAACAAACAGTGCATGTAGTGAGATGTTGCATATTTCAGATGAGGCATTTTCCCCTCTTCTTTGTAATTGCTGAGAAACCAAGTTTGAAGTCAGCCTTGAGGACACCTTCTCTAAGATGTTCCTATGATATTCATGTTATCCTTCAGAAAATCACCAGATACTTAGAGGGTGCAATGGGAGAAAGGTCAATCTGTACTTACCATTTTTTTTGTTCTGTCTCATTGGTCTGATTTTTTTAAAAACTGACCTCTGTGAAATTAAAGGGTTTTGTTGCAGATGAACCTCTTTGGCCCAAGTATGCTGTTGCTAGTATGTGTTCTGGAAATGGTATTTTTTTATTTTAATGTTGTCTTTCTTTTCAGAGGAAGAAAAAGTTGCTTTTGTTAATTGGATAAATAAAGCCCTACAAGATGACCCAGACTGTAAGCACCTCCTACCCATGAACCCATCAGATGCCAGTCTGTTTAAATCCCTTGCAGATGGCATCCTTCTTTGGTGAGTCCAAGGCTATGAGAAAGAAAATAAATTAATCTCAAAGGTTAAATGCTGATCACAGTGGCATGAATTAGAAAACTTTAGACAGGCTTTAACATCAAGACCCCACTCTTAAATATTTCAATCTGGGTGAAAGGTGGGGAAAATCTGTTTGTAGAAATGTGATTTTTAGTGTATTTTCTATGCGACTGTGCACATGTTACAGAAGCAGTTTTCCACTCAGACCCATAATTATACATGCTAGATATGTGCAGGCTGTTTATAAAGGAGATAATTAAACAGTTCATAAATTCATTACTTGAAATAATTTAAAAACTTGACTATTAAAATATTTTTTAAAGTTACTAATTATAGTCATTAAATCATCGGGTATCACGAACAGAGATCTGAATTAAATCCATGGCAAAACAGAGAGCATATAGTAGGTCCCTTGACTTCAGTCTGCTGTAACTTTCTAGTTAAAGTGGATTACTAGTGCTTACTCACACACCATGGTAACAAGGGATTAGCTGTTAGTATTGATGTGAATTAGTCTTTGAGATCCACGTAGAGACAAAGTACTACAGAAATGCAGTGCAGAAATACACTGATTATACTACAGTTTTTCACTAGAGACCATTTAAGTTACTTTGGTTTACAGTTTTAAACTCAGGAACTTTCTTTGGCAAGTATAGATATGATCTATATAGATGACATCTATATGATATCATCTAATATGATTAATTATAAAAGGAAGGTGCAATATATTATCTGGGGCATTCTGAACGAATGTGCAGTTATGTAAAGGGGGAGAGGAGATTCAGACTATGGTTTGGTTTTTTTTAATCTTGTCAGAAATGTTTGCAGCTAGTTGAGTGTTAGTAGTTTATAACCAAATAATATATTTTCTGAGAAATGGAAGTTTGAATAAACTCTTGACTTTTCTTTCTTAGCAAAATGATCAACTTTTCACAACCAGATACAATTGATGAAAGGGCTATTAATAAGAAAAAACTCACTCCTTTCACTGTTTCTGTAAGTACTGCACGGATAGCAACTTGCCATAAATGAAAAAGTAAAATATTTTTCTGTTTTAATGGCAGTTCTCCTGGTGGAGGAAAAAATATTTAAAAATCATATGTAATTAAAAATCCTGAAGCATGAGATTGTATTTTCTAATAAACTCTATTGTATTCTCCTATTTCTTAGATGATTTACGGAAAAACTAGTTGTTTCTTGTTTTCTCTAATTCTTTCCCTATTAGTTATTTTTGTTTTGCCTTACTGAGTACCTGAAGAAAATAATTTTAGACTTTGAGTGGATGGCCAGGTTGTATTTTAGCCATGCAGAAAGTATCTGCATGGCTGTATATTCTGTAGTAGGATGATGGACTTTCTATACTGGAGAGTAGCTTTGACAGAGGGTCAGGAGATCTATTTTAATTGTGTATGAAGTCATGGAAAAGTTTGACAGAAACAGTTTTTAAGAATTGAGTTTGGGTTTAAGAAAACAGGTCTGGAATGGGAAGTAGATCCATAAGTTACTGACCCAATGAGAAAAAACTGCTGATACAAACCTCAGTTACATGGCAGACTTCATTTTAGGCAGTGATGTTAAAATATGAAAAGTTAAACCACACTCTGTTCTAAATCCTCTAAAACCACGCTATGTTCTAAATCCTCCACGTGGGTTTTGTAATTGCTACTCATTTCAAAAAGATTTGTTCAGCAGAGATGATAGTGCATGTGTTTAGGTTGCCTCTGTAGATAGTGAAATATGACACAAGAAAATAGTAGCACTGAGAGCTGCCAGCTATTTTTTCTTGGAATCTTTGTCAATATCTCTGGCAATCACTAGCTTTACTTTGAGTGTCAGGGTTTTGAATTGTCTTGATTATCTTAGGCTCTTCTTTCAATTATAGTTTAACAAGTGCTTGAATAACGTGTAAGATTTAAGATGGGATGACAGTGATGTCAGTAGTGCCCTGCACAGGACTCCATGCAGGAATTCCATATGAACATGTTTTTCAGGATCAAACCTCTGATATTTACACAAATCAATGCAATGCATATGCAATGCATGCTGGGCAGAATTGTTTAATTTGTGTAACTGATACTTAGGAATTGCAAAAAATATTTTGATTAAAGTATTTCTCAGTAATCCCAGCTGCAGAAGGAGGCCCACAATTTTTCGGTGGGTCCGTATTAAACACTGTCATTGTTTTCATTAAATTTTGGTAATATGCAAGGTAGTTCACAAAAAAACCTCCAGAGTGCAGTTTTCCATTGGAAGCCATTGAACTAATGCATTATTTCTTCTGAAGTTTAATATGAACAATTTTACTAAAATATACAATCTCCCAAATTTGTTAAATTATGATATTCCCAATAGGAAAACCTAAACCTGGCTCTGAACTCAGCATCTGCCATTGGCTGCACGGTTGTCAATATTGGATCACAAGATTTGCAAGAAGGAAAACCACACTTGGTATTAGGACTCTTGTGGCAGATCATTAAAGTTGGCCTTTTTGCTGATATTGAGATCTCCAGAAATGAAGGTAAGAGTAATGCCAGGTATAGCAATGCCAGCCACTTGGAATTAGCTCAGATCACAATAGCAGTGATTTCAGCTTTCTTTCAAACTTGCTTTTAGCTCTTATTGCCTTGCTAAATGAAGGGGAAGAGCTGGATGAGTTAATGAAGCTTTCCCCAGAAGACCTCTTGCTGCGCTGGGTGAATTACCATCTGGCCAATGCAGGGTGGCAGAAAATCAGTAACTTCAGCCAAGACATTAAGGTAGGTAGTTATTTCTTCTCATAATCGAACACAGTGGTATTAAAACACACAGTGCATAGAAAAATGTTGTCAGAGCAGAAGAATTTATATACAATAGTAATCTGCTTTATCTGACTGCAGGTTTATCCTGCATTTTTCAACATTGAAAGAGCATTATTTTGATCTCTTCTATCCTATCTAGTTGCTCATCCCCTGCATTATCATATTACAGTGCAAAGTGAACATTTCCAACAAGCTGATAGTCAGGGAAGTTCTAATGTTGTTCGATGGCTATTATTTGGGATAATTTTAGGATAATTTGGGATAAATTGCACCACCTTACCACCTTCCTAGCTGCCTAATAACTGCCAGTCACTGTTTGCTGGTGTGTCAGCTGACTGCCATGGGGGCTGAAATATTCCTTGGGGCAGGTGGCAGAGCTCCATAATTCTCTCTTCAGTCATTCTGCAAAGGCAGGCAGAGCATTGTAGTAGCCCAGTTGAGGAGAGAACACAGCAACTTTTTAAAACTGAAAGCAAAGGAGGAAGATTCCCTTAAAGTGATTAGACCTCCTTTCATTGGAGAAAACCATGTCCTTAATTTTAAGCAAGTTACATCTTTTCAAATGCTACCAAGAAGGCTGTTATTAAAGCAGACTGTAACTAGGGTTTTATATGAAAACTGCTACTATGGTAAAAAAATTTTATGGTGTTTAAGAGAAGTAGTAAATACTTCTAGAACTAGAAGGGGTTTATTTTTTCTTCTAGTTTGTTACTGCAAAATTGATCCTTTTTGTGGGTGACCACATAAATTTGCCCTGAATATCTTAATTACAAGTCTAGTTAATGTTCAGCAGAATAAATTTAACTAGCATTGTCCAGAATAATTAACAGATATTCCTTTTCTCTGTCATCTGGCTAAGTAAGTTCTGTGTGAAACAGGGTAGTAAAATGGCTGTATGACCTCATCCATATTCACTGAAATTAGGGGGCTGTATATTTGACTCCTATGGCTTCTGGATTGTACTATTAGAATAAGAAATGTCTAGGAAAGGCAACATACTTGCTTCTTTTTAAAAAAAAATTATTATTACACTGTTTGTTTTAGGATTCAAGAGCATACTACCATCTATTAAATCAGATTGCACCCAAAGGAGATGACCTGGAACAATTGCCCATTAAAATTGACTTTACAGGATTTCATGTAAGTATCCAGAAATGTAAAAATAGACTGGAATTATCTGAGATCTCTGTGTATGTATCCAACATTCTGGTTACCAGGTTATCCCTGAATCCTCTTCTGTTTCCTAACGTGTGCAAGAACTCAGCCAGATTCCTCAGTGTTACAAAAGCTTAAATGAGAAGAAACTTAAGTTCTACAGTGCTGCTGAAACAGGATAATGCATCCTGCAGTCAAAAGTTTGGAGCTATGTTTCACTAGGAGTAGTGTATATTGATTTTCAATTGGGTCATCCAACATGAATATTACAACATCCTGCTCAGTTCTCCTGTTCTGGAATTCAGACAAGAAAAAAGAATAGACTTCACAAACCATTGTTCCTTCCTCTAACCAAATAGCATTTAGAAATAACATGTGAGCCCTTCCAATAACCAGCAGCAAAATGTGGCCTCCATCAAGCTTTAAGTTGTAAAGGGACAGAAGGTCTAAAACCAGCCTACACTGATGTGGAAACACTTGTCTAAGCTGCTTCATAATGCCTGTTGGAAGGATTATTCTGGGAGTGCATTTGCTACAAAGTTGAACTGTGTGCCTGAGATACCTATATATCAATCAGAATCTACAGTAGAATCTCACTATTCATTATAATCATGAAACCCATGTGCAAGATTATTTTCTTACATGCTTTAGTTCTCTTAAATTCCTTGTTTGCTTTGTTTGTTCTTGTTTGGGATTTTTTGAGAGTGAGAAAGAATATAAAATTTTTTCCATGTAATTTCCTACAGTTCATATGATAACATTTTGTAATGAACCAGTATATTACTAATAAAGACTAATGAACAAAACATAGGTTGCCAACTTATGATGCTTATGAGAAAAAAAAATATTAAAAGGACAGCAAGTTGGAAGCATTCAAACTATTACTGACAGTTGGCATCATCTGGAATTTCTTGAGAATATCAGTTTAAAGCAGTGATGGTGAACCTTTGGTACATGTAGGAGGGTATGCAATAAGGGGATCAACAGCCTAGAAATGTAAATAGAATCTCTACACTCCTGGCTGCAGTTCCTGTGATTCATGAGGAATGCTGTGCTGACAGCCACAGAAGTGAAGGACAGTAGAATGCAGAGGGGAATTGTCATGGGCTGTAAGAACTAGCTCAGGCATTGGCAGAATGAGGGAGGAACTGACATGGGTCATTTAAAGATTTCTCTACCTGATGATTCAGTAAAATCTGCTACTAGATTTAACTGTAAATTAACTTCTATTTGTTTTTCTTTTTAGGATAAAAATGACTTGAGGAGGGCTGAATACATGCTCCAACAGGCAGATAAATTGGGCTGCAGACAGTTTGTAACTCCAGCTGATGTGGTTGCAGGCAACCCTAAGCTCAATTTGGCATTTGTTGCAAATCTCTTTAACACATATCCAGCCCTGCACAAGCCTGATAATTCATCTTATGATCTCAATTTATTAGAAGGTACTCAACTTTCTAACCATATGGAAGAGAAGAATATTAGTGATTTCTACTTAGGTATTCCTTCTAGGTTGTGATGTAGGATCCCTGTGTGCTGGTGCCTGTGTTTACTTAGTAGCAGCCAATATAAGCCTTAGTAGAAAACCCCAGTAGTGTATATTGTTCACCTGTGTTAGCCTGACCAAATTGTCATTCCTGAATAACCTTCTGTCATCCATTTGCAGGAGCAGAAACTGTCCTCCTACTTTCCTTTCCGTTTCCCGTGCTTCTTTCTGTGCCATTTATATTTGAGCTGATGTACAAATTCTAGCTTTTCTTTGAAGTGCTATATTATGCAACTGTAATAGTCTTTAAAAGTATTTTTCACATAGTGCATTTATATATATGTGTGTATGTTTGTTGCCTTTTAAAGTAGGAAATTTGTTTTTTTTTTAAAGGCTTCTGTATCAGCAGCCTATATTAATCTATTGCATCAACAGCCTGCATAGATCCTGTCATAGCAGGGAATTTGGCCTTTAACTGTATGGTTCAGGTTTCTAATGCCAGAGACAAAGGGATAATTGGTAACAATCTTTGGCTGTTGCCCTTGCTGTGGACCAGCTAATCTAGGATAATGGAATGGCTCCTGCCAGTGTATTTCACAGTTGTTCACTGATCTCAAAGGAGTGTGAGAATCAGGGGTGCTGCACTCGGGAGAATCATCAGCAATGTTCACATAGTCCTCTGCACTGCCTTCTCGTGCCTTCCTCTTACTGTTCCTATCAGGTTTCCTTTCCATCTAGGTGAGTCCATCTTCCTTTGCTCCTTTGCTCCTGTTTTTTCATGATTTGTCTGTGCTGCTGCATCCCTGTGTCACAAATCTTCAGACCATTCCTGTTTCAGGCTTCTTGCTCTTCTAGCTTCAGCTGGGTGCCAGCTGTGATGTGGTAGAGGTTGTAGAGCACAGGACATTGTCTTCCCTTTTCAGCTGTGATATCCCCAGTCACTGCAGTCCCTGCTGGCCAGGACTGAAGGAAATGTCTGAAATGACTGAAGGAAAGGTCTGCTCTTCCTCTGCTTTAGTTTTGTTAGAAACGTCCACTCTTGGAAATGTATACAGGAGCTGTGTGGAGGTAGAATATGTTCAGTTCAGCTTCCCTGCTCTGAAGATAAAATTGCTGGTGTGATTTGAAATACTGAAAACTTGGTTAAATTTCCATTTCAATAGCATGGGAAAAAAACCAGTTGAATTAGTTTCTGGACTTTCCTGAAACATTTAGATGGAGATGAAAGTCTCAGCCAGTTTAAAAAGTTACAATCAACTGAATGCTAGACTATGATTTTGTAATTATAAATACAGGCCAAATTTAACTTACTATTTACAGTATATATTTTAGAGATGGATAATCATGCCAATGTTATCTATTCGAAGAAATAATAATAATTCCCGTGGTGTCAAGTAGATCTAAACCATCAAAATGGTTATTTCAGCCCAAAGACAACATTGTTAATTTTTTTTTCTGTTAATGTATTTTTTGTTTTCCATTAAGTCCTGTGTTTATATTGATGTTTTCTCAAGCTAGTGATATAAAATATGACATTGATTTTTTTATAGTTTCATCATAGATTGTCTGTTGAAATCTGACTCATAATTTATAATGCTTTCCTGTTTTGCTTCATGAAATGCAGATTTGACCCCTCCTAATGTAGGTACTGTATTTAGTACTTTTCTGTACTCCATAAAAGTGTTTATTCTGCAATTTTTCGTTCTTTTTTCTCCCTATTGTTTAATCATCTCTGTCCTTTTCTGGTTGATTTTTTGCATTGTTCTTACATTTTTCTATTGTTTTAATATGCCATCATAAGTAAAAGAGAAAGAAAAAACCCCACAGCATATAAAATGAGGGCAAGAGTTGCAGTAAGTCAAATGCCATACAGGTATTTTGGAGGCTTTAGCCAGTAGGGGCTTTCCATGAACCAAGATGCCAAGCTGTAGGCCTGTGTGGGTGAGTAGAGCTTCCTGAAAGTTTTCATTTTCCTGCATAAATTCTATCTTTTTAAGGACTGTCCCACCTGATCAGCATGGTGTGGCTGTCCTCTTCAGTTTAGGACAGTTAATGCTGTGCATAAACTGACATCTGCCCTGATAATAAGTCTGGTGATGTGCAATGAATTATGGAGAGCATGTCTCTCAGGAATACTGACATAGCAAAATGAACATTTGATATTGTGTGGGGGTGGAGAGGGCAGTCCTGAGCTCTGTTATTGCACCACGTTTGCTGCTGATCCAAGGAGCCCCTTGCTTGTGGGGAAAGCAGCAGTTTGGAGTCAAAGTCACGAAGAAAGCTGAGTTCTTGGGGAGAGGAAGAGGAGGGACTGTGTCCACCCACTTTTCCTCCAGTGTAGATGTTCTGTGCTGTTGCTTAGATTACTGGCAGCCTTCATGGCTGTCACCACAAGAGGGTTAGGTGCTCCCACTCAGGCTGGTTGAACTTGGGCTGCAGCTGTATCGTGAGCTCAGTTGTGTTCAGAGATAATCTTAGATTTATTCGGAGCTCTTTGGATTCTTGGTCCCCTCCCTATGGCTACTCTCCACTCAGTTCCACAGTGTAATGATCTCAAAAAAGAGATGGCAATAAATATAAAGGATACTACCAAATTTGCTCCTCTCTCTTTTGTGTAGCTCTGCCCCCTTTCTGCAGTTTTCCAATGATTTTGGCTATCTGCTGCACCACTCAGCAGAAGATATGCTCCTGATAGGATCACAAGGTATATTTTGAATAAAAGAATAGAGAGAAAAAATTGGTCATTTCTCAGCCATCTGGAAAACTTATGAACACTCCTGTACTGCATGATGAAGGGATTTGTTTAGAGTGGCATATTAAATATAATATGCTGGGTTTAGATCCTGGACCCCAAAAGGGTCCTGCCCAGCTTGCATGCTCTTGCTCCTGCTTGGCTACTTTGGATTCTCCTGACAATGTTGAGCAAGCATTTTAAAATCCTCAGTCTGAGTGCAGTTGCTGAGAATCTGTTTTTGTGGCTACACTGTTTACTAAGAGTTCACTAAATAACCTTGGTACTGTCTTTGTAATGGAAAAGTGTTCCTAAAAGCACTTTGCAGTCAGTATTTTAGGCATTGCAAATCAACTCAAAGCTCAGTAACCATAAAATCATTTAAAAAAGCACAAGGCACTTGCTTCAAAATCCTATAATCTCAAAGATATTCTTTATAAACTTAAATTATATATCATTCTTCATTTATGATTGTTTTTTTAAATGGAAAAACTGATATTTTTAATAAATTTGTCACAAAGTGTTATTGTTATCTTAAATTTTAATATGACAAGAAATATGTGAAACAAAGCTCTCTGATGATGTTGTGGAAGAGGATTTTTCTTTGTTTCTTCAGTGTTTTTTCACTGTTTCATCAGTGGCTCTGTGGTTGTTTTTACAAGTAAATATTTGAAACAAGCACTAATTTGAATTGCATATGAAAAAAATAATAATTTAGGAAATGTATCAGTAAGATGAATGTCAACTATTTCATAATAATTGGAAAGGAAAGAACCTGGTAAGGTGGCTGAAACTTTAAAGATAAAATTTACTCTGTTAAAAACTGTAAACCACAGCTGAAATTTCTGATGTCCAGAGCTTTTTGTGTAAAAGGGTAAGAGACCTAGATTAAAATGGTAGTTTCTGTCTAAAAATCAATATTCTTACATAGGTCTAGGCATGAAAATATAATGTTAAAGAGATTTTCTTTCTGGTCTAATGATAAATACATGTTTATGCAGTAGCTTCATTTTTACAAAATGATTCATTATTCCCTAGTCAGCCTAGAACTGCAGTACTAAATGAGGCAGTTTTCATGCTATATAGATCTCATCATTGAATGAAACTTCAAACATGATATTGTTGCCTTCTAAGGAGAAAACAGCAGAGAAAAATCTTTCTTACGTACTTGTGCTTCAGTCTGGAGAAATCTGCTCTTTCATTGTTTGGAGAGGCTTTCTCCCTCCTCAGTGTCTTCACTGTTTTCTTAACTGTGGATTATCAACCCAGGGGAACAAAGTGATGAGCTTATTCCAAGCTCACATATTCAGGTTAAATATTTTCTCAAATGCTGCTCGTTGATGCAAGAGACAACAGCTTATGCAGCACTGATTCACGTGTAGATGGCCACAGAGATGTTAAAATTTAGGTAGTGTCGTATGTAGAAAATTAATGAGTTATTGCAAGCTGTAACTTTATAGAGAGTTAGGTTAGAACTCATGATTGCAGTAATAAAAGCAATCTATGTCAGGAAAATGAAGGTTGGGATTTACTTCCTAATGAATTTTCTGCAGTTCTTGTAGGTAGAATTGCTGGTTAAAGCTATGAGGATAACTGGCCCCTTCGGCAGTATAAATAGCTTCACAAAGTTAACCAATACAACACTGCCTCTCCCTATTTTCATTGCAAAGAACTCAAAAAAATGAAATCTGTTGCTTTGGGGAGGACCTTTGCAAATTAATACTGTCAAATTCTGTGAGAGGAGAGTGGAGTTGTAGTGCCTCGTGCATTAGTACTGACTTTTAATGAGAAAATGTTATTTCTCTCAAAGTGAGAAATGCAATTTCCATTCATTTTTGTTTCAGGAAATTATTATTAATCACCTCCATGATATGTTGATTATGTGAAATATAACAAAAAATTATTCCTGTATTTTATCAAATTGTATTTACTCAGATCAATGTAGTCTAATAATACTACTCCCTGTAGTCCCCCTGCCCTGTGCCTAGAACTGACTCTGAATTGGATAGGATTGCCTTGTAGTATAGACTGTTGTTTGGGAAATTATGAACTCTTTTTGGGGTGGAAGGGGGATGGTGAAGGATATGAGAAGCATTTAAACATTGCTTATTAAAGTGTTTTCCCCAATAACTTATATAGAATTGTATTTGTCACCATAGGAGAAAGTAAAGAAGAAAGGACTTTCAGAAACTGGATGAATTCACTGGGTGTGAGCCCATATGTTAATCATTTATACAGGTAAGGTTTTTTTAAAAAGAATGATTTGACTTCCCATGGGTGACAGAGGAAGAAAGAAGGAAAAAAGAGGGGGAAATTGTATTTCTACCAGAATAGTGATTTCCGGGTTTTCTCTTCAAAACTGGTCTGTAGGACCACATTAAACAATATATGACTCGAATATTCTAGTCATAATCTAGATAGACTAGAAAACTTAAGAAGGTTTAAATCTTCCCCCCCTCTCACACTTGTATGTTGAATTACGTTTGCTTAAAAGTTGAGATAACTGTGTTTTATGATGTATAATTTTTATTTTTTCAGTAGACTGTAAGAAGCTCTGCAGTGTAGTATTCCCTCAGATGAAAGGCTTTATAACAAGTTTTTAGATGCTTCTGGCCACTTTCAGATTGTGCCAGAAGTTGATTCAAATTCTGACAATAAAAGATGAGATTGAGAGAGCAAGTGGGAACACCTGCTTGTATGTATATTTACTAATTGGTTTCATTATTTCAATTTTCTGATCTCTGTAAAGTGATCTGTAGGTAGCTTAATGTGGAGAATTTCATTTATTAAGTAGCTGATGGGAATTATCATTCATTATGCAACATATATTGGGAAAATAATACTTTCCCTACTATTCTTCTTTTGCAAGGTAAGTTCATTGGTTTTGATTATACTTTAGCAAAATACATCTGTAGGCATCTGCAGATAACGCATGAGTATTTAACATTTGGGAAAGTCCTTAGAGAATTAAAACTAGATCAATAAATTAAAACTCTTTTAGCAGCTGTTTTGTCTATGCCTGCCTTATGAAAGTAATTATTTAATGGAAGCCAGACTGAGATTGCCTCAGTAAGATTTGTGAAACTAATGAAATTAAATGCAGAATTTGGTGTATATAATTGCAGGAATCAAGCAATGGACTGTAGGCCAGTTTCTTTACAGAACAGCACCAGTTTTTATTTAAGTCTCTGGAAATTTTCAGCAACTTACTTACACTGTGAGAAGTCTCAAGTACTTACTTTCATTGTCAATCTGTGCTTTTGTGCTGAAACCCATTGTTTTGCTCTTGGTTTAGTGATCTTTCTGATGCTTTAATCATCTTCCAACTGTACGACATGACGCGTGTTCCGGTTGACTGGAGCCACGTCAACAAACCTCCTTACTCCCTGCTCGGTGGCAACATGAAAAAGGTGGGGATGCTCTGGGAGGCAGCCCAGCTTCACTGGCTCCCTTTGTGCTCACAGCAGTCTGTGTTGTTGAGATTTCAGTGCTACTGAGACAGTCCTGGGAGAATAAAAAGGAAGATCTATTTTTCAGATGTTATCCCAAAGAATAAATAGCAGTTATAGCACATATCACCTTAGTTTCTAAATGGGGCACCTTTTAGCAATATTTAATTTATGGCCTGATTTGGCTCTATAAGTGAAAGCTTCAGGCCTGACATTGGCTGTTGTTGCGGGATGCTCCTATACTGTGGGGCATTTTCTCCCAGAGCAGTTTTATATGCTGCCCAGAGGATTTGGGCAAGACATGCAGAATCCAAGCTTTCATCCAGTTTTGTGGTTGTTGTGAAGCCTGAAATGTAGAGGATAAAAATTACTGCCTGTTTAAGAAGAACACATTTCAATATCTTTCAAAGTATAATTTTGATATAAATATATTTCATTCACTACCTTAGTGGAAACTTGGTTTTCTCAAATGTGGAAAAAATTATCTTACATAATTGCATCTATAGTAAAAACTGTGTTATTTTAATCACAGTGTAGCTAGACTGGAAATCTTTTCTAGCTTCAGAGCTCACTGTAGGTAACACTAAGCCAAAGTAATTTAAAATACACATAGATTATGTGTCTGTATTGCAGAAATATTAATATGTTTACATTATTTGCACACAAAATTTATTTTTAGATTGAGAATTGCAATTATGCAGTAGAACTTGGGAAGACAAAAGCCAAATTCTCGTTGGTTGGTATTGCTGGACACGATCTAAATGAAGGTAATCCAACTCTGACTTTGGCTTTGGTATGGCAGCTGATGAGGAGGTAAGTTAGGCAGTGTATGATAGATGTGTAAATATGTGTCTGTGCATGTATGTCTGTAAATCAAGGCAAATTAAGGGTAATGTTCAGATCATCCACTTAGTATTGTAGAGAGAAATCTCTAAATATCCCTGTTCTCAAAGATAAAATTGTATATGTGTTTTGTAATTTTTCATACTGTGCAGTGATTGAAAACACAATTTATAGTGACAATTAAAACCTTATAAACTAGAAACTGTGACTAAGATTATAAATCCTGCAGCAAGTAAAAAGACCTCAGCTTATTTAATGTTGATTCCATGTATCTTTCTGTAAGTAGAGAGTAATTTAAATATTTGTAAAAGCCAAGGAAGTGGTGATAGATACACTATAGAAGTTAAAAGGGTAAAAAATTGTAGGCCATCACAGCTATAGTTACATAAGTAGCATCAAATCAAAATCTTGCTACTGTATTGAGCAGGAAAAATTATTATGAAGTGATTTGATTAAGGAGTGTTTTATTGCAAATGTTTTCCTCAAATTAGTTTTCTTAGATCTATCCCAAAACACTTAGTGGTTTTTGTTCTCAGACTGCTGTGATTCAGTTTTTTCTCTTCTGGGGTGGTAGGGAGTCATATAACCTTAGGAAGTATAATTTATTATGATGTACTGAGTAAAACAAATGCATGAAGATGTTACAGTGAATATTATGAGGTTTGGGATTTTATTTTATTATTTTATGCAGTAACCACTGAAAAAGTGATTTCAAGTACTATACAGTTTGTAAGGTAAGGAAAAGTATGAAGAGTACTTAGCATTGTTACTGTGATGAAGTAATATTTTACATTTGCTTATAGCTTTTTAAGAAAAGTTGAGTTCTGCCACTCATTTTAACTTGGGCTCTTTTCTTTATTGAAGGTATACTTTGAATGTACTATCTGACCTTGGAGAGGGTGAAAAAGTAAATGACGAAATTATTATTAAGTGGGTGAATCAGACACTTGCAAAAGCAAATAAGAAAACTTCAATTACAAGTTTCAAGGTAATGAATTTTATTTACTTTTCTTTCCATATATAATAAAACCTGGGATTTTTAACCTGATCTGTTCATTATTTGGCTTTAACAGTGGTTCTCCCATCCGCTAGCAGAATTGTTTATGGAAATATTTCTGACAGTCTTTGACTCTTCAAAAGTATTTTGAATACATATTGACAAATAAAAGAACTTATAGTAGCTGCAGTAAGATGCAAAACAAAAAGCCCAAAAACAAACAGAAGAAGAACTTTAAACTTTCAAAGTGGTTTCTGTCTGAAGTTACCAGTCTTTGGGCCTGGCATGTCGTATATTTTCCAAGTTTTTGGATATAGGCGCTTTCATGCTTGTACAAGCCAGAAAAACGATTTTGGAAATACCGGGGGCAGATGACCGCTTCTCCTAGGAGCCGGTTAAAAGGATGTTCTCTCGTGTGGCAGAGCCGGGAGAGGGAGCCCAGGGTAAGCAGCGACACCTTGTGTCGTCCTTGCCGCTGCTGATGTGCAGCAGGCCGGGGGAAAACGGGAGCTGTTCCCTTCAGCATAAAAGAACACATTGATAAAGGAAGCTTTCCTTTCACGTTATTTAAGTGCTCAAAACAAAAGAAGCCATATGTGTGTCAGGTGTGTTATTCTGTGTGAAACTCTTGCTCTAGAAATGGCTGATTAATAATTGCACACAAATGTAACATTCTTGTACAGGTTCATTTTATAACCTGAAACAGTTATGTTTATATTTATAAATAAATATTTGAGAGTTCACTATGTTATGAATTTTAATTAGGTAAGCATTATTAATCAAAAATTTAAGTAAAAATACTTAATTTTCACTTTAGAAGGTAACTCGGGTCTTCGTTTTCTTATGAGATGTTGTTGCTTCTCTTACTTCTACATAAATTGTTACAATGGTGCTAATAATCTTATCATTGGTGTAATTAAACAAGTTGAAAGTATCACAAGAATCTGTCCCAATATCTTGCCTTTGGTATGCCTGTATCTTTGGGGGTGCATTAGTTGTGTTTTTAAGGTCATTCAGATGATGTTTTTAAAATAATTCAACTGATGGTTGACTAATAAAGATAAGGAGGAAGTGATGTAAAGTGACACTATTCAGTATTAGTTTTTTTTACTGCTAATTTTTGACAACATTTACATAAATACTATCTTTCACTATTTGGGTTTTGGGGTTACTATGTCAAGCAGACCATAGAGAATGCAGAAGTGCCTTAGAGAATGCAGAAGTGCCTTATATTTCACTGTGGACAGTAAAAGCCAAGTTCTATTGTATTGCCATTAGTTCAAACAGTAAAAATTATAAAGCTGTATCTTATGGTCTTGGGGACTCCATGCATTTAATGCCTTGAAGCAGAATTATGAGTATTTTTAGATGTATAATTAGTGATAGGTCTGTGGGACTTCCCTGAACTGGCAGTGCTAGTTCTGACCTGGTGACAGAGGCAGCTGTGTCCTGTGGCTGTGCTCAGCCGCTGCAGTGCCTGTGCTTGCTTTGGCATCTGCAGCTCCTGCTCTGCCCGGACAGTCGGGATGGAATGATTGCAGCAACAGGCCTTGCTCTTTTAAGAATCTCTCTGTATTAAACATGAAACACAGACTGCTCACATTAGCTCAGAATACCATCTGAGTTGAAATATTATAGAAAGAGTGAGCCATAAACTGCTGGAGAAAATAGTTCCATGGCAAGAGAACAAGGAAAATATATGTCTGGGGGCCTGGAAGGATCTTTTTGTTGTTTGAAAGTCTGGTCCTTGAACTTCTGTCAAAATCCTTTTCCTTTCTTAGGGCTTAAAGAGGGAAGTTTGATTAAATAAATGTAAACCATTTGTGCAATAATGATACCAGCACAGTGAACATTATAATATTGATTGCAGAAAAGAACATTAGAGTTCATAAAGTGTAAAGGAAAACCTTCACACTATGAAGTAAGAAAACAGGCTTCTGTCTTTCAGTATGCATGCAAGATGTGCTGTAGGGTTTTTTGCATTTTGAAAATGGAATAATCAAAGCAGATTCGTTAAACTAAACCTGAGTCTTTTTCTTTTAGGACAGATCAATTAGCACTGGCTTACCTGTCCTAGATTTAATAGATGCCATTGCACCAAAAGCAGTTCGTCCAGAAATGGTCAAGAGAGAAGACCTTTCTTACCAAGACAAATTGAACAATGCCAAGTAAGTTTTAAATGAATGCTTCATATTTTCCTGCAGGAAATGCATGAATTCACAGTGTAATGCATTATTTACTGATTTTTTAGGAGAAAGATAACACTAATATTAATTGATTTTTTAAAAATAGAATATAAGTTCTAATATTAATTTCTCTAGTGTATCTAAAATATGAAGTCAAATTCACAGCTGATATGACCTACCACCACTGCACTGTAATTGGTTTCTTAATAGTTTGTCAAACCTCATACTGGTTTTGACCAAAATAAATGCTTTGATAACCAGTAGTAAAACATCTGCCAGTACATGCTTTCTTCACAATAATTTCCATTTTCTAGTAGAGCCTAAGGACTGTTAAATAGGCATATCCTGCTATTGAAATCTAGTTTTGTTGTTGTGAATTTTGACATATTAGTAGAAGCCAGAAAAATAACAGTATTTTTTTCTCTTGTTTTCCAAGGTATGCCATTTCAGTTGCTCGAAAAATTGGTGCTCGTATTTATGCTCTCCCAGATGATCTGGTTGAAGTGAAGCCAAAAATGGTGATGACAGTGTTTGCATGTTTGATGGGAAGAGGACTGAACAGAATAAAATAATGCAGACATGTAATATAACTTTCTGCCATGTTAAGCACAATGAATGCCTCGCAGTTTACAGAATTCTGAAACTTAGTATGAGAAAAATTGTATGCACAAATATCAATTATCTTTTAATAAGGTGTTTATATTAGTTAATTTTCTTCAGTTTCATAACACATGAATTATTTATGGCTAATACCGTTTTCAGAACATGTTCATTAACAAATTAACATCATAGATTTGTATTGCTTGGAAAAACCCATATGAATCAAGCTTCATTTGTATTAGTTTCCATAGCACTGTGAGAATCTGCATTGTTATACATATGTTGTTTCAGGACCAATTACGAAACACTGTTTGATTTTTGTGGGTGTTACTTATATGTAGTCATACAAGTCTCAAGGTGCATTCCAGTCCTGTTGGATTGGACTCCAAACTGCACAGAAATTATCATCCTTGCCTTATTCTTGGAGAGCTTAACTCTTGTTGGAGCCAGTAAGAGTCCTGTCATTGACTTAAGAGCAAGTAAAGGCCTATGATAATGTCTGGTAACTAATGAATACTGATTAAACTGATGACACTTTTTTGTGGGAATTATCTTTAAATATATGTAGTAGTTTTGTTCTGTTACTTAGCAGAAACTTTTGCAAACCATGTTGTATGAAAAACCAGCAATAGAAAGCAGAAATGTCCTGTGATTATTAGGTCTGCATATGTGCTAAGTTTTGCAGTTGGACTAAACAGCTGTTGGTTGAGTTTTTTTAACCTTTTCATAAAATATTGTATTAAGAAAACAATAAAGAGCTGGCAAGTCCACTATGGAATTTCTCATTACTGTATTGCATTTCCTTATATATCATTCCTTTGATTTTTCTAAAGTGTGTATCCTATGTGCAGAGGTTTGATGTAGAAAGATCAGTGCATTGTCTGGATGAAATTAAATCTGTGGTTTTTTCTTAGTAATTTTAAAGTAATTATTTGTACTCCTTTTTCATCAGCTGTAAATTTCACTTATCAAGCTTGAGCTGTACATTTAATGAAGTTGTTACCAAAAGCCAAACAATAAGAAAATAGATCAAAATTAAAGACATTATTTTTTAAAGTATGAAGCTTTTACTTTCTCTCAGGTCCTGAAGCCAGTCCTCATTGTGGCAGAACAGGAGAATCCTGATGAGCAAGCAGTTGGACTAAGTTTTACATCTTCATTATCTTGCACACAATATAGCAATACTAAGGGATGCATCCCTCCAGTTTCTATTAGATAATGGGATAACAGAGACTGAAGGGAATTAAATTCTTGGATTTGAAGCCATTAGCCTCTGCCTATTTACTGGTTTGCATTGTTGGGACAAGACTTGATTTACTTGGTTTCTATTCCCAGTCCAGATGATGACAGAGGTTTGTACAGGATTTGAGTTCTCGTGACACTCAGTCCAAGTCCTCATTCAGGAGAAGCTAAATGGAGACTAAGTTAGTCTCTATACTGTAAGAATAAATGATCTCTTATTAAATTATAGAATCCTTAGGTACTGTATTTACCTACCAGACACTTGGTACCTTACTCCATAAAGGCCACTATTTCCTGTTTTATAAACTATTACTGTAAGTGTCTAGAATTACTTCAGAGTTGCTTTGAGGAAATTTTCATAGGCAACCCTCTGATGCTGTGATGAGCAGGGCCGTAGTTAGTGTAGCAGCTGGGAGAAAACAGACTTAAGAGCAAACGCAGCCCTGAGGCCGCCCAGGAGCTGCTGCGGTCCCTCACGGGCAGCCTGCGGCCCCCTGCGCGGCGGTGGGGAGGGGCAGGGCCCGCCCTGCCTTGTCGGCCCCGCCCGGCCCTGCCCTGCCCTGCCCGCCCGCCAGAGGTGACCCTGCCGGGGCCGCTGCCCCGCTCGCCAGCGGTGCCGAGGGGCAGCGGCGGCGCCGCGACACCGCCCCGCCCGGGTCCGCATGGGCCTGGCGGAGCCATGGCCGCCCTGTACCAGAGCGCGGACCCGTCCGCCTCGGCCTCGCCCAACAAGCTGCTGGCGCTGAAGGATGTGCGGCAGGTGAAGGAGGAGACTACGCTGGACGAGAAGCTTTTCCTGCTGGCCTGCGACAAAGGTGCCCGCCCCGCCGCCCGGGCCGGCCCGGCCCCCCCGAGGTCTCGGCCGCTCGCTCCGAGGGCCGGAGCCGTGGCCGGGTGTCAGCCCTGCGCTGTCCTCCCCTCGGCCGGGCTGCGGTCCCGCCGTGCGGCTGCCATGGGGCACCGCTGGGTCCGGGCCCGCCGCCTCCCGCTGGCCCTGGGCGGGAAGGGAGGCGCGGGGCCGGCTCCTGCCGCGTTCGTGAGGGCATTCGGTTTGTGTGGGAGGAATCTGGGAGGTTTTCGCTGTTAAAAGTCTCTGAGTAGAGAGCTGCTGTAAAATTGGGGCTTATCTAGACATCCCCAGGATAAGCGACACCGGTGTCCTGCGATTTGCACCGCTGGTGGCGGATGGGAAGAGATTTTTCTTTCTAAAATATGCTGATTGCTTTAAGCCTATATTTAGTTGCCTTTGAGTCGAAACGTGGCCTTAAATCAAACTGATCTTAAAGGGTCTGAAACGCTGGGCTCCAGGGTATGCTTTTAATGATGCGCTGCGCGGCTTTGCGAGCCTGGGGCGCAGGCAGGGCTGCAGGAGCTGCGGTGTTGGCGCGCAGAGCTGCGCGCCCGCCCGAGCTCAGGTGAACTCGCAGCCACACGGGTGTTCCTGCAGTGGCATTTGCCACCGAGCTTAGCGATTTTGCTCTGGGACGCTCGGTGGTGCGATGCCTTGCATCTGCACAGCCCCTGCAGTCTGTCCTCAGCATCAGAGGAAGCCATGGCTTTCTCTCTTTAGCTATAGACAGAGGTTCAGAGAGCTAAAAAGCTGCATAACAAAAAAAGTAACAAAACCCAGTTATCTGTATAACAGTTGGTTCAGCACTCTTGGTATGTATTTTACTGTATTCTACATAAACTTCTGTAAGTAGTCTGTCACTGAGATCTGTCTTGGTCATGGTCTTTTGTGTTGTGAAGTAATTTGTTACCCTAGAGACAGTTTTGGAAAGCACCCGTGCTTTTGTGTGTGGTTATTTTTAGGACTCAAACTAAAGGGGTGGATTGAAGTACATGTCCAGTGCTCTCCAGAAGAGAGGTCTCCTGAAATATCTTTAGTTTTCTCCCTGAGAATGCTTATCTGCCTTGACTTCTTACTTGTCTGATCCACTCAGTTAATGTTGTTAACTGTGGACTAGTGCCTTATTTGATGGTAACTGGTACTCAAAATGATCACATGCTTTCATTGCTTTATAATATGAAGTGATATCCCTGCCTTATTTCTGCAGGTGACTATTACATGGTTAAAAAACTCTTAGAGGAAAACAGCTCAGGTGAAATGAACATAAATTGTGTGGATGTGCTTGGACGAAATGCTGTTACTATAACGATTGAAAATGAAAACTTGGACATACTACAGCTGCTTTTGGATTATGGCTGCCAGGTATCCAACCTGTTATTAAAAATGTTCCATGTAGTCATAAGTTTTCTTTGTTAATCTGTCAGAATTTGGACATAAATGTAGTCTGCCTTGCAGTAAATTTCCAGTAAATTGGAAAAAGTAATTGTGAAAGTGGTTTCTTGTCACAAGATGACTTTTCTAGTGGAATTTTGTTGGCATGGCACATGTATAAGTAACATTTTCTATGATGTTAGCAAGTTTGAGTTTTATTTTAAATGTTATTCCTGCTGCTGATATAATGCATATATTATCCCCAAGGAAAACAAACAAACAAACAAACAAACCATTGTTTGAGTGCCTAATATTAAAAAAGTGTAAAATGCAAAAATCCTTTTGGCTGTAGAGTATATTAACTTTTTAAATGGTAACACAGAAAAATTCACATTATATTGGTTGATTTTAAGGCAAACATGCATTTCTGTGGTGCTTACTTGTTAAACTTGATCTGTGCTTTATGGCAGGGCAGTTTCCTACCAACAAGACTTCCTTAAATGAATGCAGCATCTCTGGTACTGGTGGGAAAGGTGAAGCTATAGTGAATTAAATATGTAAGACAGGGAAAAGTGGCATCTTTTGTTACATTGTTTGATATTGGGCATGAATAAAACCACAAGCTTTTCCGTACCTTAATTAGTGGCAGCAATAAAAACTGTGTCTTTTTCTTTTATTTTTTTTAAGTAAAATTCCAAATTTTTGGAAATGAATCAAGAAGAATAATATCATCTGTAGGGAAAATGAAAAGATGCTTATCTCAGCGTAATAGAAGGTGCAGAAGTGGTTGGTTACCAGCCAAGAAGGAAAAAGCTTATTTTCCTAGCTGTACCCCAGAATTACAGGTGCAAGGCTGAAGTATCCCATATGCCTGAGCTGTGCTACACTAATATTTGCTTTTAATCTGTCTAATAGACCTGGTAAACTTGGTCTTTAAACTTAACTTGTTAAGTCTTCTGCATCATCTTTGCTGGAAAGTGATTTATTCAATTGATTCTCTTCCGTTGGTGCAGTGATGCAAGTTGTCACTTATGCTCTGTGAACTCCTGCAGTGGCAACCTGAATTTGTATCCTGATCATATGCCTGGTGATAATACAGAACATCATTTTAGTTCTTTAAAATTAAATTTTAAAAATATATTTTAAAAATGCAGTTTGGCTTGAGTTTGTCTCTTTGTGCTGTTTAAGTTACTGCTGTTTTCACATGTGATTTGTTTTCTTTACGTAGTCCTCGGATGCACTTTTGGTGGCTATTGACTCAGAAGTGGTGGGAGCTGTTGACATTCTACTTAATCACCGACCAAAACGATCCTCCAGGCCAACCATTGTGGTTAAGTGTTGTTACTCCTTGACTTTTGGTTGGGGCTGTGAAGGCTATTGCTTTTTTGGGTATCTGTAGTATTTAAAACAGTGTTCTTAAATTCTGCATCTGTAAGGTGATAGAATCTAGACACCAGGGATTATTTTTGTAACCTCTTTTGTCTTGAAAGATGACATACATGACTTTGCTTTATCACCTAAGGAATCCAGTGGCTTTATACCTGCCAAACACATGACCAGTTCAGAAGAGAAAAAACCTAGTGGTTATAAATCTTTTTTAGTAGTCTGTTTGCAAGGTAATTAGCAGCCTTGACTTATAAAGTGTTTATTCATGTATGGAAGCTTCATAGATTTTCAGAGCAAATTTATAAACATCAGACCTCCACCTTGAAATTAAGCAATTGAAGCTTACCTTGTCAATGCTTTAGTACCAAAACACTTTTGAAAGCACAAAGTGGCAGTGGAGGCAGGGAAGGAATAAGGTGTTGTGTAACAGAGCATGGCACATTTAGGATATTTTTTCTTCTCTTAACTAGTAAATACAGTAATTTGTTCACAAACTAGAGCAAAATAACAATTTCTAATATCCCATGTGTATTGGAAAAATAGGCAGTATTTCTGTGTAAATTAACCAGAGAAGTATCTGAGTCTGTTTTTCTTTTTTGGTATTTATCTGACAGGTGTTTGAGTGTTGTCACATATTTTTCTTTCTGTTCATGTTATGAAACACTGGAAAGTATTTTGAAGGAGAAGTTCTTGGTTGAACAGTCAAAAACCTCCTTATGCATAGCAGAACTGTAGGTAATAAATTTAGATAGTTCCTATATTTTATTCCAGAAATTAATGGAACGCATTCAGAACCCAGAGTACTCAACAACCATGGATGTGGCACCAGTAATTTTAGCTGCTCATCGTAACAACTATGAAATTCTCACCATGCTGTTGAAGCAAGACATATCATTACCCAAACCTCATGCTGT